GTGCATACTGCAGTGTACTTTTTTGCCCTATCTTATTTTATTTTTAAATTTCTAATTTCTATAATATAAAGGGCCTCTTAAATACTAATAGGAAATCTCCTTGTGTACTCAGTTTCTCCCAAGAACTCTATATTCTTAAAATTTACAATAATTTCATGCTATATTTTTTAATTATAAAAAAGTTATTATGGTTCTCAATGTATAAAAAAGTTAGATTTAGCGTGACTTGGCTTTATAAAACACTGATTATGAATCATGTTGCATCTCTTATTGAAGCTTGTGATTTTCAATTACTAGAAATTCCTATACCTTGTATCGATCAGTTTTTTTTATTAAGTTTTCTGAGAGTTCTTTCTTTTGGTCTTTGCATTTTATTTTTGTAGTTTGGTTTGATGGAACCTTTTTGTTTATTAACCTTTCTCTTCTTTTTGTTATCGCTTTATGATCATAACTGTTTTCTGGTTCTATTTTCTTTTTCACTCTCTTCGGGAGTATCTTTTAAACATTTTTTTTTTCATTATAGCAATTAGAAGTTGTTTGTTTCTTGATAAATAAAAGGACTATACCCGATTGTCTTATCCTAGTTTTCCCGTTGATGGATATTTCTTTGAACTGCAAAATCCAGATATCTTTTTAAATTTAGAAATAAAATAAGTTTTTCTATAGAACTCAATTTCATGATTAGTTGGAAATTATTGAGATTAGTGTTTATTCTGAATCATTTCTGTTGTCTTTCATAACTGTCAAAAAATAATTATTTTGTAATTTTTGCACCTTGTATCTAATTCTCACACTATATTCTGTTCTAGCCTGGTCAAAGTACAGAGAATCAAAGGCAGATGATGGTTCCAGAGCTTCCGATGCAAGTCACCGGGAACAACCACAGACCATTAAATGCTTCAAGTTCTGCCTTTCCAAATCAGACAACACCACCATCTATTCCTCCATATCCCGGCCATCTCCAGTCGCAGCATCAAATGTCCCCACAACAGTCGCATGCTCATAGCAGCCCTCATCATCCACATCTTCCATCCCCAAATCAGGCCGTTGGTCCACAGCAGCAGTATGCGATGAGGTTGGCTAATGAAAGGAAGCTGCATCAACGGAGGTTCTTGCAGCAGCAACAATTGCAACAAAAACAGCAGCAGTTTTCTACATCAAGTTCTCTAACTCCACACGTCCCACCACAGCCCCAACTTCCCATGACCTCTCTAAATAGCCCGCAGGTCCATCTGCAAACTTCATCACAGCAGGTCTCTTTGTCCCCGCTAACCTCATCGTCCCCAATGACACCCACATCATCACAGCAAATGAAACATCACCTCCCATCTCATGGTTTGAGCCGGAACCCGGGAGCCAGTGGGTTAAACAATCAGGCAGTGAAGCAAAGGCAACAATCTGCCAGGCATCATCCTCAACAGCGACAGCAGGTTCAGCCTCAACAGCAGGCTAAACTTATCAAGGGAGTAGGAAGAGGAAGCATGCTAGTGCATCAAAATCTCACTGTTGATACTAATCTTGCAAATGGTCTTAATGTAACTTCTGGTGATCAACCCACCGAAAAAGGGGAGCAGATCATGCAGTTGATGCAAGGTCAAGGATCATATTACGGATCTGGAGTAAACACAGTTCAACATTCAAAACCATTAGGTCCTCAGTCATCAAACCATTCTCAGATAAAGAAAACTCCTGTTTGTGCTTCTGGACCACCTTTATCAAAATCAGTTTTGCAGATGCCAGCCCATTCTGAGAAAAGCTCTCAAGGTCAGGTTCCACCTGTTTCCTCTGGTCACACGTTATCAACTTCACATCAGGATGCTCCTGCATCAATAGCAGCTTCAAACCACCCGCCTTCACAGCCACCTCAAAAGCAGGTGAATCAAACCCAAACAAGTTTTGAGAGATCTCATCAGCAGAAGTCTCAAGGTACCTCTGATCCAAGAATGAAGGCTCAGACTGATGTAGCTCAAGCTGACCAGCAACCACATAAGCAAGCTTCTCAGGTAGGTACGGATAAAACAATGCCTCATACATCTTCCACTTCAACTGATACAACACCAATTACTTCTGTTTCTCAGTGGAAACCATCTGAACCTGTGTATGATTCTGATGTACTGAAGTCAAAACCTCAGTTGGGGCTGATTGGTAGTTCACCCCTTACTAACTTTACTGGTGGTGAGCCAATACCCAACAACCTGGGAATGGGCCCTAGGCAGTCCTCTCGTGCCTTACCTTCTCATGGACATAGTGCTGGGCTACAGTGGCCACAGCAAGTTCCATTGCAGCAATCTCCAAATCGATTTACCCCATCACAGCAGCAAGAAAAGCATCAAGACCCCTCATTGTCCCAACATCATCAACCTGTGCAACAGCAAGCTCAGCATCAATCACAGCACAAGCAAGCAGAGCAAGGTAGTTTGTATTTGAAGCCTGAAAATGCTAAAATGGAATGAAGCAATCTGGTGATAGGGTAGTGCCGGTTCATTCTCTGACGGGGATTCGGTCAGCATGCACTCTGTAAAGGCAGTGTACAGGTATTATGACTATCCATCTCAATTATTACCATTAACAGTCTATTATCCTAGTGTAAAGAGAAGGAAAAAAGAGATGGCCTTTTGCTTCATATCATGAAAGAATAGGCTTGCATGATTGAACAACTCTCCCTTCCCTCTCAAATGGTCGCAGGTTACATTTTAATAATTATTTCATCAGGTTGTGTTTGTTTGTTCGTTTTTTTATTTGATTTTTTAATAAGAAACCAAACTTTGCATGGAAGAAATGAAAAGTGACTTGTGTTCGAAGAAACGAAGTCCCAAAAGGGAGGGGAATGCATGTTAATAATTTTCTGGCTCAAAATCTTGTTTTTTTCAGACACATTGTAGGGTGAACAACATGGTTTCCTTATTTATTTTTATTATTTTTGCAGATGAAGCAGGTTAATTATTCATGATTGAGGGCTTCGCAAGAGAGGAAGTGATGGAACACTTTCGACTTCACAAATTGAAGTTTTCATATGGGATAAATTGTCACTCTATTCATGAGACCCATCCCTAGTGCAGTTCAGGCGATGTCCCTTACCCTTTCCTTCTCGTTTTTCTTGAGGTAAAAGTGAAGATGGGAAGGATGATATTTCTCCCTTGTGATTTATGTATATTACCACTGGCCTAGTTTTGGGAAGATAGAGACAGATGTAGAGGTACGTGTACAGGGTCTTGTCTTTCCTTTCTTATAATTCTCTATTTTTCCGTTATCTTGAGGTTCTTCAAGTCACCCGTCCTTTTATTAGAGGGTCTCATTCCTTTTGGAGTTGATAGATTAGTGCATGTATTGACATTAATAACGATTAAGAGGGTAGAAATCCTTTCTGAGAGCAAATGCTCCTTGGAAATTTTTGTGAATATTAGGTTTCTGGCGTCTGCATTGTCAGTAGTGCCTTTTAAATTAACCATCTATCAGTCAATGTGCATCTGTAGAAGTAACATATTATGTAATGGTGTACCCAATTTTATAATGCAACAAGCTTCAGTGCCGATCCATTTATTTTGCTTAGTCTAGCAGAACCCTTCTCTGTACCCCTCGGCTGCAACATTCTCTAACCTGTAGTCTCTTTAAGATGTCATTTTCTTTTTCTTATCTCTTCTAATTCATTTTTATTTAGCAAGTTCGATGCGGCTGCACAGCAGTGAGCATTGTAAAAATTTCCGTTCATTTTAGATATGAGACGTCTAGGAAATAGTTTTGCTCACAGTTATAGTTAACTCAAGCATGAGGACTTCGAATCTGTTTAGTGTGTTTAAATTGTCCAAAGAAACGAAATACACTGAAGTTTGGGATTGAATGGCTTTCATATGGTTCTAGAATTACGATCTGTAAAAGATTGTATGTAGTATAAATGGCGAGTTTCAGTTTGAAGTACGGGCATAAATTCTAACTCCATAATCCTGAGCTACACAAACTTCACTCATGAAGTCAAACACCTCTTCTTAAGTGATTTAGAAAACAATTGTAATGCATATTAGAAACCATCTTTTCTACTGAAAAGGATTGGAATCTGCGATGTGTGATTTACATTTACCAGGTCTCAGGCCAACTGCCAACAAGCCGTGAAGTGTTTCTGTAAGAAACAATCACAATGACTTTGGTGCTTTGTGGCATTTACTCTGTTTCTTTAGGGTTTGGCCTTTGGTTTGTACAAAGGATTCAAAGCTCTTTATGTTTTGTTCTACCGACTCTTTGACTGATGTTCATTTGGATTGGTTGTGCTTTGATGGGTTTTTGCCAATGCTGGTGAGGAAGCCATTTCTTGAAACATTGTTTCAGACAGCTAACTGTTCCATTTTTACTGCCCAAATGATGAGCATTATTTATTTTCTTTTGATCTTTAGTTACTAGTTTGAAGCCATTTTGTTTATTCTTATCTTCAGATCTATGAACTGAATTATATTTTAATTCCACTCCCAATGATCTAATGCTGCAGAATTGGTGTCTGTCAATGGCTATCAGAAGTAACTTTGATCTACTTCAAGTCCAATTTCTGTAATTTGAGGAAATTTCATAAGTTCCAATTGTTCAAGTTTGCTCTTGGATTTAAGTAAATACTTTATCAAATTACATTTGTTCAAAACCCCATCTTTCTTGAAATTGAGAATGGATTGTAAGTTGTCTCAGTTTTACACCCAATTTATTCTAATTATGATCGTCATTTTATCTAAAATTTAAAATTCTACGGATTATCTAGACACTTTGTGCGAATAGTTGATCACCATATCTTATACTAAAAAAAATCTTGGTACCATAGCATGGACAACTTTTTTTAAAACGTGACCAACTCACATTCTTGTTGTTTGCTGAGTTATGGAGTCTTGCCTTGTGGCAAATCAGGCATGTGCTCTAGCCCCAATATCATTGGGCGTTCAATCATCAATGTTTACACTCATCGAAAGTAAATTGACACAAATCTCAACGAAGTATCATAATAAATTTATGATAAAAAGTGGCCATTTGACATCATTTTCATTCAAATATGAATAAGTTGGAAGAGAGAACAAGCATTTGAAGCCCAGCAAAAACTACAAAAATAACCATTCGAAAGCAGAGTCAAACTCGTTCTAATGCAAAGGAATCCAAGTAATGGATGGATTTTACCATAAATCTTCTCCTACTTACTCCAAATCGAATCTGCAGTTACTTAATTTTACCTCCGCCGCCAGCGTTGATTCCTCCGGCAGCCATTGCAGCTTTTCTCGCCGTCTTCTCCTGAAGAGCTTTTGCATCCCTGAACACAAATACAGCTCCATTCATTCAATATCAAAGAACGACTTCCCAAATTCTCACTCCAAAACAGATTCTTTTGGTAACTAATTAATTTTTGTTGTCAATTTTTGAAAATCAAGCTCATAAATGTTACTTAAGATGAATTTTGATAACTAAGAAAGAGAAATGGAACCTTTCGCGTCGCTGTTCAGGCGTCGAGCCGTCGTTTCTCGGTTGCTTGGTCTTGCTTCCAGCCCTAGCTTGAGCCCTTTCTCGATCTCGATCTCTCTGGTTTCCGCGTTCGCTTCAGTTAAAGACAAACAAACATAAAACCACAAAATCTACGACAAAGTCGCTCTATGTAAACTTTATTAACTCTAACCTATTTCGTTGCCTAAAATCATCGATCATCAGCAGGATTTGAAGAAATCACAACAAAGAAAATTTCAAAAACAAAATTACAAAAATCCTCTGATTCTACTCCTCCTCTGTTCATAAAAGAATCAAAAAAATAAAAAAGAAACAAGGAACGAAAGGAAGGATATGAGACATGGTAATGAATGTATCTGCTTGGATCTATAAATAATTCATATACAAAGCTTAGTACCAATGTCATTTGTCTAACCCATTAACACTTAATTATTCACATTAGCTACTCATCTTTTGAGTTGGTTCCGCTGGATCGTCGGCCGAGACCTTTGGTCTCTATCCAAATCTAATGAAAAAAAATTGGATTACTTCTTATGAACTCATTAGAATAATTCTGATCTAGTTCATGGCCTATTAGAAGTAGAAGGCGCTGATTGGAATTGGGATCTTCAAGGACAGAAAAAACCCGAACCCAGGAATCACTTAAATATGATACAAGATGGAAGTTGTTCTATCGAGATTTCTCTATATAAAGTAGTGGTATACTTTAAGCACTAAAATGATCCAGGTGTGTGAAAATATTAAAGAACGAGAACGATGAATCTTAATCCAATCACTTTTCAAGTATTTGAGGATTGTGTTACTTTTTTTTTATAGAAATTAGTAGTAAATGAAGGGTAATAAGTATTTTTTTTTTTTTTTTCTTTTAGCTATTCAATTACAGGGGAAAAAAAAATGGAGGGAAAATCAGAAGATGTCAAGAATCTCCAAAATAAAGCCATTGCAAAGTGGACAGTTCCCTCTACTCACCCAAAGCTCTCTTGAACACAGCCTACAAAAGGTGTGACCACACGGGATAAATGCCGCCCCTTTATAACGCACCATGCACACGCAGCAACGCCGTTCTGCTCCCCAGCTGTGTTCTCCGCCGCGTTTGGCTGTGACCTTATGATGAATTTCTTCTTCTTCTTCTTCCTCTTCCTCTTCTATTCTGTATCTTGACCCTTCCAACCCCATTTTCCTGTCCGTTTCCTCTAACAGATCCATAAGTGACATTCTCACCGGCGCCGCCGAGCTGGATTCTTGTTGTTCTGGTTGTTCCTGTTCTTCTTCTTGTTCTTCTTCGTGGGCGGTGCTTTCTGCGTCGGCGGCTTCTTGAGCCACCACTGTTTCTCTAGCTGACATCGATCTCTCCATTGCAAGCGCAGCCGAGAGACGGCGCGCGCCGTCACGCGCTGGATCAGACAAGTCCGTGAAACTCTCGCTCCGTTCTAGGGTGAATCTCGTCGAGCTATGCCGCGACATTTGTGGCTTTTGGAGGCTCCGCCTACTGCCGGAGCCGGAAGCGGTGGAGGAATTGTTGTTTTCTGGAGAATCGCCGGAATTGGCAGCCTCGGACTTTGGCCTCGCGTTCAGACTTAACCGCGACGAGCTCCGCCGTGAAATCTGCCTGAGAGACGGTGCGGCACCAGTGGTGGTGGTGGATTCCGACGATTGTTCTTCGCTTGGCATCATCTCCGCCGACGAAAAACTAGGTATACGAAGCGAATTCGGCGACAGAATTTGAGATCTGAGATTCAAACGAAGGCGATCTCTCAAAAACTTCCAAGATTTCCTCTCTCGGTTACCGACAGGAGATATCCCAACGTCGTCTCTTATAATATCGAGCAAAGTCCGGCCGTTTAGTCTCACAGCCGGCGAAGGGCTCGGCGAAGCTCTATTATGAATGGTCAAAACGTCGTTGAGTGTCAAACCACGGGCGAACTCTCTGCCATCGCCGACCGCTAACATCTGATCGTAAAGCGTAATCCTCCGCCGATCACCTTCCATAGATTATCACAAAGAAAAAAAAAAACCAGTTAAACACGAAAAGAACAAAAAAAACCCTAAATCCTCAACAAGAAGAACCGTCGAGATTTCATCGGGAAAACAACAAAATCATTCCAATTCCAAACAACGGAAGCATCAAATTCCTTCAACAGATCCGAAAACAGAACAAAGAAGAAAAAAAATCTAAGAATCTGAGAAACAACAAGGAAGAAGAAGAAGAAGACATTGAGAGATTCAAGATCTCTGCTAACAAGGAATCATTTATATATAATCGAGATTGCAAGCTTCTTTATGTACGAAACTGAAAAGGTTGAAACTGAAAAAGTTAAAACAGAAAATTAAAAAAAAAAAAAAAAAAAAAAAAAAAAAAAAAAAAAAAAAAAA